TTTTTCATTTTTACATCTTAATTATAATTTTTTCAATTAGCTCAAGTCCAAAGTGTGTCTATGAAACACACTATCGATAATCACCTAATATCATGAATAAGTATTCAGAATACACATCACATGACATTTGAACTCATATCAGAAACCAATTGATAATTAACTAAAAAAAAATTTAAAGTGCTATAACATATTTTTTTCTATTACATAGAATAGCCAAGTAGAAGACGATTAAAAGTAAATTTGTCGTTTCATAAATATCCTAGAATGTTTGTTTTTATGTTATGACATTACAAAGGTGGTAATAAATTTATAACGACAATACAACTAAATATCTTTTCTTAAATATCATGTGTATCCTAATGATGCAATATTTAATATGGACCTACATTTTCAATCACATTTTCTATAGATTTTATTAATGTAATTTAGAATATAACATTATGTCAATGGTTATTGTATACAGAAATAAAATTACTTTATGATTGTTTTTATTTTTGTGGAATTAGAAATTAATATTTTAATCAATACTTTCAATATTTATAATATTACATTATGATTATTGTTAGTGTATATAAAAATAAATTTGATTTCATGATTGTCTTTAGGGAAAAAGAACAAATATGCTTCCGAACTATCGTAAATGGTACGCTTCGTTATACTTTTGGTACATCAATACCCTTACCGTCCAAAAATCAGAACACATTTGCCCCTCACTCTAATGGAAGAATAATTAGTGACACGTGATCCAATCCTATGGCTCAACCTGATTTGATCAATTAATTACCCCAAAATTAAATACCCGTCCAATGACCCGTTTAACCAACTCAATACCCCCATTATCCACACAAATACAGAGAAGTATATTTTTCCCCTACTTCAATATACAATGGTGAAGGAATAAACCCAGCAACACAACTACCTCAAATTTCATTGCACCAACCAATTATTTTCTCAATTTAATTTGTTTTGATTACCATTTTGAGATAACATATAAAGTGTCAAATTTCTATTGCACGGACCAATTATGTGTAGAGCTGTTAATATGGGCTAGCCCACCCAATCGTGGCTAACCCATACAGGTTTTGACATTTTATAGGACAGGCTGGGCTAGCCCATTTTTGCCGTGAGCCAGAAAATGATCGGTCCAACCCATAAGTACGTGGGCTACATGCTTGACGGGGCCAACCCACTTTTTTTAAAAAATTGTATTTTTTTATAATTATTAAATTAAATTTTAAATTATAATTTATAATATTATCATAAGTATCGACAAAACAATATTACATGATGTTAATGTTAGTACTTGTTAATCAAATCAAAATAAAATTATTCTTATAATATTTATTTGGGATAATTTCAGAGACCTCCATGTTTCGCTCTATAACACTCACCTCCCTTTTGGTTTACGATGTTACGTCTACCTCCCTTATTTGCATTTACTTGTAACCATTCTTTAAACCTAGTTAAAATAAATATAAATTAATATATATTTGATAATTTTACTCTTTTTTATATAAATTTCTTCTTATTAATAAATATTATATAAAAAATAACTCATTTAACAAATACTTAAAAAATAAATTAACACAGACTTGGTTTTTTTAATCCAACAAAGATCAAAGTGCTCAACTAAGCTGACCCAGATTTTCACCAAATATTAACTCTTTGAGTGTGTTTGGTATGAAGGAAAACATTTTCTGAAAAATGTTTTCCAATTTTCCCATTATTGGTTGGGACAAAAGATTTGAAAAATGGTTTCCAAATCAACTCATTTTCTCAAAATTAAGGAAAATGACTTCAAAAATTAAGGAAAACATTTTCCATAACTCTCCTCCAATTTCAAATTACATTTTTTTTTTGGAAAAACATTAATTTTAAAAAAAATATTATCAATTTCAAAATTTTTATTTTTTCACCTGATCTTTGACCAGCCCCCCCCCCCCCAACCCCATCCCCTCCCCAAAAATTTAATTTTGCTTTTTATGAATATTTTCAAATTCAAATTTTTATTTTTAAACTCCTACCCCCTTACCCCGGCCATCCCCCACCCACCCCAGCCCGCAAAAAAATTAATTGTGTTTTTTAAAAGTACTATCAACTTCAAATTTTTATTTTTTCACTCCTACCCCCTCTCCTCCCCCTCCCCCACCATCACCCAAAAAAATAATAATTTTGATTTTAAAAAATATTTTCAGTGTCATAAATATTTTTTTACTCTAGTAAAAATAAAAGATGTCTCTGAAAAATATTTTTCATTCATAAATCAAACACTAAAAATCATTTCCGAAAAAATATTTTTTACTTACCAACCAAACATAAGAAAATAAGTCCAAAATTTACTTGTTTCCCAGGAAAACATTTTCTACGAAAACATTTCCACAGAAGCATTTTCCTCCATACCAAACACACCCTTTATCTTTATTTCGCCTATATTAAATGATGCAAATTTTCCCCCCACAATAATCCATCATTTTCCATCAACAATTTCTTTAAATAGAAGACAAAATTAAACTTTCCAATAAAGAAAAGAACGATAAGATTTTGTTCTACTTAAACATTTACACAAGCGAAGAAAAAACATGATCCAACGAATAAAAATAAATCATTAAAAATTAGATCTAAACATTCATACATAAGGGGTAAATTTGTCAAATCTAAATTAATTTATATTTATTTAAATAGGTTTAAAGAATGGTTACAAGAAAATGAAAATAAGGGAGGTAGACGTAATATCGTAAACCACAGGGAAGGTTAGTGTTCTAGAGCGAAGCCTGAAGGGAGGTCTCTGAAATTATCTCTATTTATTAAGTTTTTTTTTCAAGTAAAAGTATAAATATATAAAAAAAATATTAACCTAATTATTTTGAATTTGGACTCTCTTTAATTTTAAAATTTTAATATTATATTATATTTTTTAATTAATTATTATGGCCCACGGGTTGACCGTACCTATATTTCTCAAGCCCATCAAATCATCAGGCTTATTGAGGCCGAGCTAAAAAACCCTTTTCTTAAATGGGCTCCAAAAATATCAGCTCAACCCTATTAAATCCCGTGTTAGGCCAGGCCGGCCCTACGGGTCTAGCCCATATTGACAGCTCTAATAATGTTCTTAATTTCTCTTCTAGTTAGACAATGTTTAATCCAAAAGTGATTTTTTAAAAAGAAAACAAAGAACAGATTTCAGTAACCAGATTCGAAAATGATTGTAGACCAATGATTCTATATGCTTCAACTGAACTTAAATCATCTATTAGTTTATACAATTATTGTAGCATTCCAGCAACGAATTTAAAGAAGAAACAGATAAACACTAACAACCCTCTTCTTCCTTATTTCTCTTATAGCCAAAGCCTAGTCGAAACGGTGAGGCTTTTTCACTCCTTCAGTCGCCGGAGCAATTTTTCTTGTTGCCTTAGTAGCTAGTTGCTTCCTTATCACTAGTGGATTTGTGAGTTGTATTTGCTTAGTACGAGCAATTTTTAGTCTATATTGAAAAAAATGGAGATGTATAACAATGGTGATGAAGAATGGTTTTAGTTTGTGAGATGAACCAAAGATTTGATTGGAGGAATTTTCCTCTTTTCTTAAAAGATTTTTAGATAGGTTAATATTGTGTGGGTAATGGGTGGGTCAAATGAGTCACTGGGCGGGTATTTAAATTTTGGATTAATTAATTGGTCAAATCGGGTTGAGCTGTAGGATTGTACCATGTGTCACTAATTATTCTTCCGTTAGAGGGAGGGGCAAATGTGTTCTGATTTTTGGAAGGTAAGGGTATTGATGTACTAAAAGTAGAACGAAGGGTATATGCATACCATTTACAATAGTTCGGGGGCTATATTTGTCTTTTTTTTCCTTGTTTTTATTGTTGTAAAAGTTGAAAATTAAGTTTATAATAAATACTTCTAATATTAAAATCAAAATAAATAGAAGTATTTCTATTATCAAAAATATTAATGAAATATCACAAAATTCACCAAAAAAGCAAGCTGCAAACACGTTATACTTAAGTTGAAGCAGTAGAGATTTGAAAGGCTTTGAATCAATCTTTACGAATTGGATGATCAATGATTAGTATTTTATCAAATGCAAAGCTTATGATGCAGATATTACAAAAACAAGATGATAACATTGTAAAAAAAATATATACCACTTGCGAAAATATATGAAGATCGATGAACTTTTACAAATATATCAGCATTTTCTATATTTTTCTTGGATGTGAAATGTTTTAACTCATAACCTAGTGCTAGTTTCTATTTCTTTGCTGCATAGAATTATTTGGGATTCAACTTTCTCAATTTGAATGGTAAACGATGCATTTATATCGTAAGAACATCTAGAAAAGATTATTAAGTAATATATTGAAGTTGTTCACTGTAAAAAAAAATATGAAGTATAGAAATATCATATATTTAGAGGCTAATTGCATCTTATCCCAGAAGTTTCCTCAATTACAAAAATTTCAAAATTTTCGTTGCTCTCGAATACATTTCTTGATCATCTGATACATTAATAATGATATATATCACTTCATGGGAAGGATGTATCCAAGGAGGGATATTTATCTATCCGAGAAGGGATGGATGTATCCGAAAAGAAATAAGAATACATCCGAGTGGGGATTATAATATCTTAAATTATGAATTTATGTAATTTTTTAAATAAAATATAAAAAAATTATATTGAGCCCATATCACGGGTCTTAAATCATCTATTTTAGCTTAGAAACACATACGTCACAAATTTAAGCTGCTAACATAAAAACTTAACTAGTTCGCAAAATGATATTTGAGGCCTAAGCATCTTCATCTCTCATCTACCAATTGAATTTACAAGTAATTGAAGCACATAAAAACATAATCAATGCAATTTCAAATATAATTTAGATTTTCCTGATTTGTATCTTTCAACATCATGTTAAGAGAACATCAACGAATCCGAAAAATACGCATTTAGGATCAGGCGGAGTAAAAGATGCAACGAATTCGTAAAAATTGACAAAAATCATATGATTAAAAAAAGAAAAAAATTAACATAAAGAGTATTTTATAGATCTAAGGAAAGCCAAGAAGATAATAAAATCAAATTACATACAACATAGAGATAGATTACTAAAGTACCAAACACTTAAGACAGAGGGTACAATAATATTTACGTTTAGTTTTGAATGAAATGGGAATAAAAAAGAGTCTCCACTGGCTCTCTACATCCACAGCTTGAATCATTCCTCCACAGTAAGGGCAAACACCTTTTGCTTTCTCTCTTCGTACAACCCTTTCATCTTCATCGCAAACAAACACAAAGCACATTGTCACAGATTATCAAAACTTATTAATTGGATATGACACAACAGATTCTGGGTGGCTTTTAGGATTAGCCTTTGATGGGAATATCGATATATTTATAGAAACTTAGCTTATCTGGAAAATACTAGTAACAAAGGGAACATTCCAGATACAATAAGAATGTGCTGAGCTGTGTTGATGATTCTAAATACCTTTATTATAATTAATTAATTAATAATTAATTAATTTTGATTTGATATTGAATTTTCTTTTAAAATGATAAAATTCTCGTAATTGGACCAAAGTAACCTTCTTGTCAATACTTGGTTTTAAGGTCATGCATTTGGTCAAAATTGGATTTGTCAATTTTCATTGTGCTCTTTCATCAATCATATCCAACGAAAGGGACAATTGTTGATCCCCAATTTTGGTCTAACATTTTCAAAATTCGTAACTTTTAAGTTTTATTTATTTAATAGTTTAAAATGATTTTTTTAATTTAAATAAGTTTATCGATAAATTAGGATTTTTTTATCAGTAATTTTTTTAAAGTATATTTTTACATATCATTAGTTTAGTTACAGTCATTATATTATTTAATATTCCTTTTATTTGTTACGTTTGTTAATATTCATGTTGATAATTTACACAGAGTAGAAATTCATTCAAATCTAGATAAAATTTGCGTACACAGTTTGTCGATAAGCCCACAAAATTTGAGTGTATTACATATTACTTTTTCTATTTAAGTTTTACTAGGTCGGGGTTGGTGGATAAAATTTCTGGATATTTTCAGATATTTAGGATTAAAGAGATTCTTTTATAGCTCATTCTTCTTCCGATGACTTAGTCACCAGAGTTCCGCCGGACTCCGATGAGTCCACCACCCAATACCATCAAAACATCATTTCCAGTAAAAAAGACCACCAACAAAACAACTCTGTCTTTCTCCTTTTTTCTAGTAAACCAGACCCTTCCTCCTCCCTTTTCCTCCACGAACGGCTAACCAAACAGAACCATTTCCTCCCTTCATCTTCTCTCCTCTTACCCAACACCACCAATAACCAAGCAAAATCAGACCCATAACCCTTCCTTTTCCTCTGCTACAACCAGCAGCTCTGTTTCGACTCTAAGACTGCCGCCAGAACACCATCAACAACAACCCCATACCCAGCTTAAATAGCAACAAAACCAATCCCAGAATCGCATTATTTCTTCATCCAAAAACACCACAACAAAGACCCAAAACTCCACCACGGTGTGAAAAATAATAAAGTTGATTTTTGAAATATCATAGAGTTTTTAAATATAGTTTCTAGTATGGTCTAGTGTAGTACTTAGAATAATTATCTTGAAGATATATCTAGATATTTTAAGAAAAGTGCTAGAAGATAAGTTCACTAGAACTTTCTTGAAGATATTTTTGTAGTAAATGATATTATAGTCTAGAGCTTGTAGTATCTAGAACAATCCATAGGTTAGTATAAACATGTGATGATAGAATAGTCTAGAGAAGCCTAAGGAAATTTAAATGATTTCTTAGGTCATTTTAAATTTCCTTAGGCTTCTCCAAGCTGATTGTCCAGATTTCCAGTTATTTCCAACTGGATGAGTTCCAGTAGAATACTTAGCCTCTAAGAACTTGTTAAGTAGAGAGGTTCTTGTCGAAAATTTCACAAGACCCTAGGTAGTAGAATAACAGTAGTTTTTGGCAACTCTACCACTGAAAAGAAGCGGTACTACAAAGTATAGTCTCAATGTCTCGTTTATAACACATTAAAATAAGAAAGTTAAGTGAAATCAGATTCTCAGGGTCATCGATGTGGTCTTTGTTCTCACAATAAACAAAACTCTGTACATTATTTAGGTTCTGATATAGAGTGCGCTTCTTCTCATTGTTTCTATCATACAAAGCAGTGTGCCTTTCTGCTACATTCCTTTGTTTTTGCTGGACAAGGAAATATATTACTTTCTCAAAAAGTGTTTAAAGAATTATTGCACCGCCACTTAACTAGCAGGAATTATATTTACATCTATTATAAGAGCACTATGAGTTCTAGTACTTCTATATATATACTGAGATACAACAGTCTCCACTGCTGAAGTTGTAAGACTCCTAAAAGGAGTTGGGGTGTCTAGAGCCTCACATGTGACTATAAGATTGTTAACATGTTAATTAAGTGTTTTAAAGTATGCATGAGTGATTTGAAGTTATTTGGTATTCAAACGTCATGGAACGACCAGGACATTCGACGACTAGTCACCAAGAGGCCTTAGATGTTTTATGTGCGTATATGTGTGTGATTGGCTTATGAAGTCTTTATATGAGTAATAATTATGTTTATAGGAAGTATGTTGAGTTTCATGAGGCTTAGAGGTTAAACTTACAAGAACATCCAAGACATTTGAAAGTTAGCCCTTGAGACATAAATGTGTGACTTGAGTGTGCCAATCATGTTTGGATGTCTTACGAATGTTTGTTTTGGGTGAAACTGATGTGGAAGGTCCTTTACATGTTAAGGTTTATATTTATTTTTTAAATACCCGGGTATGACTCCACAAGGGCCCCGTAAAAGACCCTCAAGGAGAACCCCAAAAGTTGTCGAAATACTGCCTTGGCAGTGTCAATCGACGAGCCAAGTTGACGCCCCGTTCCTTAATAAATTCACCATCAATGGAAGGTGTCACTAAACACTTAGAAGTGTGAGATCATCCCCCCAGAATGGAGTTGCAGTCGCAAACGACGGAGCACCAGGATGGCTCATCGACCAGAAGATGCCCCGTCGACTGCTCTCGTCGATGCAACCTGCAACTTCAATTCCATGCACACTGTCTCATAAAGGGGTGAATGAGAAACTCATATTACGTGCTAAAATGACCCTAGTTGGTTTATTTGGTTATTTTTGTGTTTATTTAGTGGTAAAAACGTGACAATCCCATTCTCAATCAATGAATTCAAATTAGACTTCCCTCTCCCAAAATGTCCTCTCTAGAAACCTCCATTTGAGATGAAACTCAAGAATATCTTGGAGCTTGGATTCTTATAGGTTCTTCATCAATTTTCAGTTATTTTCTCCTACAGTGAGGTATGATGATCCTTCATCTCTAGTTAATCTTCCATCTAGAGAGTTCTTCTCAAAGTTTTTAAAGAGAAAATATGATCAAACTTCTCCTTCTTCAATCTAGCCATGAGTACTTTCTCAAAACATTTTTAAAGGCTTCCTCATGATGAATTGATTTTAATATGTTGATTTTAATGTGAATTTCAATTCAATTACATGATGAACCCATGCTCTCTTCAAACTCTCTTTAGCCACGTATGAGCTTTGCGATTTTAATCTTATGTAAATCGAATTGTGATTCAATGATGTTTAAAATGCTTATATCTACTGCCTAGTATGTGTATTGATGGTGAATTTTTTAGGAGTGATCCATGAGGATGAAGGTTTGACGATTTGAATAAGACTAGCCTATAATGTAGTATCTTGTGATCTTGATGTTAGGAGGATTGTAATGTGATTCAATGATGTTAAATTGATGGTTAGCTACTGCCTATGATATCATGTGATGATTAATTATGTGTTGTTGGTCCAATATGCATTAAGGCTTGAAGACTTGATTTCTATTTCTTATTGATTGTTAAAGTATAATATCCAATGTAATCTCGTCTATATAGTGCATGAATGTAGGATTTTGTTTAGTAAAGATACTTGTAGATACTACCTTATATTGATATTATTGATTAATATGTGTATAAATCATGGATGATCAAAGAGGGAGTCATGGTAAGGATGATCTAGATTCCTCTAGTTTAATAGATTGATGATGTAGTATACTTGATATGATATTGATCTTGTTATGGTTAATGCATGATTTTGATTATGTTAGTGTACCTTTAGCTACTGCCCTAGATATGAATTATTGATGATATATGGGTATTGATCAATGAGAATCAAAGGTTGATGAATTGGTAAGAATGATTCTTCCACTCTATTTTTCTATAGAATTATTAGTTGATGAAGTCTTGTATAACATTGTGTGGTATGGTCCACTTATGGTGGAGATGTTTACTTTATTTCCAATATATACGTGGTGTGATTATGGCCTTAAAGGCAATTGTGATATGAATTTGTAGTGGTGATGTTTACCCAATGTGAAGTCCATGTCTAGTTTCCTATTCTAGTTATGATCTAGGTTGTATTGCTAATGTTATGATCATGTGAATAGTTATGTTAGGATTGGTTTAGGTGCTGCCATTGATAAGTTATAATGGTTAATAGTCCCTTACCTATGTACCCCTATATGAATGTGTGAATAGCTAAGGTGAGGAGTCTTTAAAGTAATGAGATGTTGTCTTGTCTCCTATGCTATTATGTTGTATGATCTATGCTTGAAGGTGCATTGTATTCCTAAGAGGGTGGATGCCTCAATATGTTGTTGATAGCCATTATGTGATCATGTTGACCAATGTATACACACTTACACATTATGCATGCTTACAAGTAGTATAGGTTCATGGTGTCTAATGAAAGAGTATTCTCATATGCACTCATGTCTACTACTATGCATGTAAAGTATATGCATCTATGAAATGTGTGATGTATCATTAACTAGGATGACTTGATAGGTGTACTAGTATGGGCAAGGGTATGGGACCTTGTCTATGCATTGCACATGTATGTATTGATAGGATAGTTCCTAGGTTTGGTTTTCTATGTATATGAATATGAATGCATGGTTATGTTATGAATGTGCATATTGTCTTAATATGTTTATATGAAAGGATTTCTCATAAATACACTTATGCATTAATGTGTGAACATGTGTGGCCTTAATATGTTATGTGAAAGGTTTGATCACATATATGTATACACACACATGTATGATTATCTAGTCAATGGAGGGGCCTTGAAAGGTGTACTCAAATGTACCCTAAACTAGATAGGTGTTTGAATATGTTATGTCCATGTGAAGGGGTTTCTCACATGATTTAGATTGATGAACTCTCATTTATGACCTATGAGCTAAGCTTATGAGGAGTTAACTCTCATAAAACCTTTATTTTTATAAAGTAATGTTAATAAAGGCCTTTAAATAAAAGTAAACTTAACTTAGCATCGAGAGAACTTGAAGTTGAGGGGTTTCCCTTCCCATTG